CTCACACTAACAAACTTCCAGTGCATCCTGCTCAGAGTCTTAGGTTTTGGTGAAGCCTGGGTCGGACTGTAAGCAAAATCTAATCTAGTTGTGTGAGTGCTGAAAAGGAAATCTGTGAAACTATTTCTGAGAGGTTATTAGTGGAGGCATCAAAGTGTGATGCGATGTAATTTCTACTCCTGTCACGCTGCACTAACACATCCCCCCCTCCCTCTTGATCTGCTTGCCATTCCTGCCAGCCTCCTGGCATGCTGCAAGGTGCAGGAGAGACATTTCAGCAACTTGGATGACTTTACTTCCCATCTGGAATGGAGTGTCCAGCCTCAGAAGCCAGGGGAGACCTCACTGAGCACATCCTTTTCCCCAGGCTGGTCTATGATCTGTGGGTGGAGGAGTTGTTCCTGAGGGAAAGCCATTCAGAAAGCAGGGTTTCAGGCTTAGACCTGACAGATTTCTACTTCCAGGGTGGGCAAGATCTCCCCTTTCTCCTCATTAAAGAGAGATCAGTTGGCCCAGCAAAGGTCATGGCACCCCAAGGACCTGGTGTTCAACTAGCTTCCTGGTCTCATGTCCTTTCTGGGTTCACTGCTTCCCAGACAAAATCCTCTATACTGTATGTAAGGCCCATTTTCTTGGTTCTGATCAGCCTAAACAGCATTAGATTTGTCTTCAGTAAGTGCTGGGAATTAATCCACAAGCACAGATAACAAGCTGTGTTTCTACTGAACATGTTATTGATGCTACGGAAAGAGCACCTATTGCTGATGACATCTGCAGATAATAACAGAGAATGTTTGATATCGGGTCATAGGAGGATCAGTGGTTTAGCTGGGTGCACACTAACAACATGTGCTTCAACATATGTCTGATGTGAAGTCACAGATCCTACAAATAGAATTGGCAGATCAATGAGAAGGTCTCCAAGGCCTCTGGCTGAGAGAATGGCTGGTCACTGCTTACCTTTGCCTGCATGAGGACAGATACTTGATGGCAGAATGCTTTTCATTCTAGCAGTTGAATAGAAAAGCAATGAGAGGAACCTGATTATGAGTGTAACAGTTGTTGGACTTCAATGATTTCAATCAAGGTTAAAGTGTTTTCTCCCTCATAAGCAACTTAATATTTATGGTGTTTTTCTTAAAGGTAGATCTTTGATCACTTCCTGGAGGTCCACAGAGCCAGGTTCACAGAATCATAGAATGTGCCAAGTTGGAAGGGACTCAAAAGCATCATCAAGTCCAGCTCCTGGCCCTGCACAGGACCATCCCCAAGAGTCACACCATGTGCCTGCGAGTATTGTCCAAATGCTTCTTGAACTCTCTCAGGCTTGGTGCTGTGACCACTGCCCTGGGGAACCTGTTCCAGTACCCAACCACCTTCGGGGTGAAGAACCTTTTTCTAATAACTAACCTAAACCTCCTCTGACACAACTTCAGGCCATTCCCTCAGGTCCTGTCACTGGTCACCTCAGAGAAGAGATCAGTGCCTGCTCCTCCTCTTCCCCTCACAAGGAAGTTGTAGACTGCAATGAAGTCTCCCCTCAATCTCCTCTTCTCCAGGCTGAACAGACCAAGTGCCCTCAGCTGCTTCTCATACAGCTTCCCCTCAAGGCCTTTCACCATCTTCCTTGCCCTCCTTGGATGCTCTCTCTAACAGCTTAATATCTTTCTTATATTATGGTGCCCAAAACTGCACACAATATTCGAGGTGAGGCCACCCCAGTGCAGAACAGAGTGGGACAATCCCCTCCCTCAACCAGCCAGAGATGATTTTTCTGATGCCCCCCAGGACACGGTTGGTCGTCCTGGCTACCAGGGCGCTACTGACTCATATTCAACTTGCCATCCACCAGGATCCCCAGCTCCCTTTCCGCGGCACTGCTTTCCAGCATCTCATTCCCCAGTCTGTATGAACATCCAGGGTTGTCCCATCCCAGGTGCAGAAGGTTATGTAGGAAATCAGAAAAAATAGTTACAGTGGTACCTTTCTAGTGTTAGTGCCTATTGCATGAGCAGCAGAGCAGCTGGAGAAGGTAGTCCAATATCATGGCCCAGCTAGTAGGCTCAGCCTCTTGGATGGACTGATGGGAAGAAAGGGGAATATATGGTGTTTCTACATCTTTAATGGGCTCTAACAGCTGCAGGAGATTGCTGATACACATCTTCCTTTCCCCAGACCTGTTGGAACTGAAGACTCCCAAGAGGGAGTATGTGTTATTTTACCGGTCCCAGTTTATTTGGTCTTGTCATCAACTCATTCCATGATCAGTAATATTATTGCTGCCCTGCATTAGAGGAAGGGGTTGATGGTTTCTTGTAGGACAGAATAATAGCATCTTTCTCTGAAGTAGCTCTATGTGGTCCAGCTGATGGTGAGCAGACAGTACACCATGACAGATGTTGCTGGAGGAACTTTAAAGAGGATGGTGGTGTGAGAGACTGAAATATTAAGGATTAATGATTCACACAATAGGCCATTTGCATAAGCAGCATAGTCCTTTGCTGAGGCCAGGTTTGCACCCCAAACCGAAGGGGAGGAGGGTTTTTGGGTGTGTGGTTGTGAAACCCCTGATCTGCATAAGAACAGCCTAGGTGCAGAGGGGATGTGCAACCACCAGGGAGGATGACCAAGACAAAGGATCCTTTGACAGATAAGAAGCAGATCCTGTGAGGCAGGATAAGGCTTTTTATCATGTCAATGTCCTCCCTTACACAGCTAAGTCAGGTGTAAAACTCCCCTCTGGGAGAGGTATCCAGACATTCACATTCACAGGTAGGCCTTGTCTGCTAAGGCATAAGTGGCTCAGCTACACTGGTCTGGCATGGCAAACAGTAGTTATGTCTTAAAACTGGTCATAAACCATCAAAGACTTCTGAAGCACCCCCAGACTCATTTTTAGGGCCTTCCACCAGAGGACTGCACAGGATCCACAGTATTCCAACAGACAGTGTAAAACTCCCCCTGCCTCAGGAGAGGTACCTGGACATTCCCACCTGAAACTGAACGTATATTAACTGTGTGTTTCATGTGCTTCCTCCACCTCTGATGGATCAAGACTGTGACCATCACACATTAAATTGCAACAATCAAGTCTCATCACTGGATCCACAGGAGGTGATATTTTTCCTATACATTATCTACTCTTATCCTTTCTTTTTCTTTCTTTTCCTTATATATTTTCTTAAGTGATATCTTAAGACTTTTGTATCTATAGATAATAACCAACATGGCTACATATCTTCTTTCCATTGAAACCAAATTGTTCTAAACTAAACTTGCCATATATACATATACATATAAACACCGGTCATTCAGTGTGTTTAACTCTAATCTGCTCCCAAGGGATCTATTAACCTCAGTTACCCTCACCTTCAGGGGGAGTTGTAACAGATGTTTATTGGGGAGGTTAGAGATTTGCAAAGAGCCCCAAAACCTGCATCTTGTTCCCACTGATCTTGTACCACTCTGGATTAGCTCATAATAGGAAATGATGTAGCCAAAGACAGCCCTAGAAAATAATGTCACTTCCTCATCTCCAAGGGTCTGATTAAACTCAGAAATTATTTCTAAAGCTGCTTCTGCATTTCCATCTAGAGTATTACTAACTTTGAATGTAAAAAAAATATTCCAAAATGTTGCAATGCCATAATGACGAAATATTACTGAGGTGTGGGTGGTTTTCTTCTGTAAATGAGTATGCATTATTTATTTCAAGATCATTATTGTTTCAAGATCAAAATTCAACAATTGTATGTTGCATTTCTGCTCTGTGGGGTGAGATTGTCCCACGTAAAGTGCTTGGTATGAGGAGTGGACTTCCTTTTTCGCACTGCACTTTTTAGACAAGATATTTCTCAAAGATATACTCAGTGCTGGGTGGCCCAGTGAACGAGGTTATGGTGACCAGACTGGGTAACCACAGCACTCTCTTTCTGGTTTTAAGCTACAAAAGAAGATTTCCTGAGCACAAGGGACAGGACAGCTGAGAGAGGTAGTCCAGCATTGTGGCAAAACCCCAAGACTCATCTTCTGAGAAGGAACAACAGGAAGAAAAGAGAAGGACTACTCAGTGGGGAACTTGACAGGGCCCATGCCCTGCAAAGGGCATCCCAATGCAGTGTGCAAACCAGGGCGGTGGGCCAGAAGCCAGAGCAGCAGAAGCCATGAGGCATGCCCCAAACTTGCATGATCCATGGTGACAAAACGTGTGGAGCTCTTATTTTGGGAAGGAAATTCCTAAGGGCCTGGCTGTGCCCCTACCTGCCCTGGGTGTGTGGAAGGAGGAGGTGCATATGCTCTCCTGGCTAAAATACAGCAGGGTTTGGCTGGTGGATTGGTAGTGTTTCCACACCTGCCCTAACTCTGCTCCTGCGCAGGATTAGCTCTGTGGCAAAACCCTCACTGATTTCAGCAATTGTTGCCTGAGCCCCTCTCTCCACGCATCTGTGCTTCTCTGCCACATCCATCAATTAAGCAAAAGCCCCAGACATCTCCATGCTCATGCAATGTTTTAATTATAAAGTAGTTTGCTTCTGATTGACAATTACTCTGCCTGGGAATGGGCCTTCGAGATGTGGTGGGCTTTTGAGACCTGTCTGTCACTTTCATCAGCCTTGTCCCCTTCTCCATCTGGCTGCTGAAGTATGAGGTCTCATAGGCTTTTCTATGAAATAAGAGCACTAAAAAAATTAAGAAGTGGATTGGGCTGGCCTTCACTGAGGCTGTAGCTTTGGTTTTTTTCCCTTTCCCTCTTAGTTGTGAGTAGGAAATGTCATTACAGTTCCAATCACACTGTGGCACCTGGCTCTTCCTTCCAGATGTGCTGTAAGCAGAGAAAATAGATAGCGGTGGCACACAGACACCCTGCCACTGACCTGCGTCTGCTAAAGGCAGTGAGACTACCCTGGGGAGAACACTTTTTAGAAGCACAGTCCTCATTCCAGATGCTGGGATCTACATGTGGTCTGAGGCATCACAATAGGGGTCTCTACAGTGGGAAACCAGGGGGCAGGGCTGAGTGAGGGGAGCAGACTGAGTCTTCTTGCTCTGAAAGCCCTGAGGCTAAAGACCAGGGACAGAAATGCAGAGGTGAAGAAATGTGGAAGTCTCTTCTGTATCCTGATATGGATTGTGCAGCTTTACAAGGCACCCTGGGGTCAGAGATGGGTGCAGGAACTTGGGAACTCTCTGTGGTCCTCCTGCTGGGGAGGCGGAAAGCCCCTGCCCTCTCCTGACCTCAGCTGCGCCCAGTCCTGCATTTTCCCATCCCATGACATCCTGGCTGGTGGCAAAAATTGCAGCTCAAAAATACCATGATGAATGGAAGTCATAGCACAGGGCTGGCCTTATATGGTCAAAGGCCACCTGCCACCAGCAAGAGTCACACACTGCAGTAGTGGTCTTCTCATAAGCTTTCTATGGCCAGTGACATATGGGTTGTGCAACATGTTCTCCCATGTAGATTGACCCTTCAGGCCCCATCCTAGTCCCTCCCCACATCAGGAAGCATGTAGAAAAAGACCCTTTTCCTTTTCCAACTAGAAACTCCATGGGATTAGATTTTAGTATCCTGCACTTTGGTTTTCCTTAGTACAATCGCATCAGTAATAGTTTGTTGTTCAACAGTGAATATTGGCAAAGATCAAATATTCAATGGCACGAAGATCAGGAACTGAGCACATTTTGCATGAAACTCTCCCTTTCTTCAGCAGTCTGTGGGGGTTTTTTGAGCAATTTGGATTCAGCCACTAGAGAGCAAACTTCTTCTTTTTATAAAATGGAAGTTTATATATTCCTTTAAGAAAGAACTGTACAGTTCTTCAGGCTAAAAAACATAAAAATTGAAAACAGCTAAGTTTACAGAAGGGAAAAGAAGCTTGCTTGCTTGCTTTTTTTGTCTGTCTTTCTCTCTCTCCCCCTCTCTCTCTCTCTCTCTCTCTCTTCATAAGCTGTGTTTTGGGAAGGGAGAATATATGAGTGTGTTTTGTTGTAGTGAAGGTTTCTGTTAATGATTGCTGAAGCTCTCTTCCTTCATGTCAATCACCAGAGGTAATTGTTCAGACTGACATTTGACAAGCTCTATGAGGAGCATCTCAAAAGGAGGCCTTGGGACAGCACTACAGGAACGTGCAGAGCGTACAATTGTGTAAGAGTTAGAGGGGAGATCTGCCAACCACCATGATTATACCTATTAATGCTGGAGGACGCCTCTTTCTGGAGTAGTGCTGAGCAGCTGGACTCCCTAAACCATGTGGTTTAAGTGCCCTTGAGATTTTAATGGAAATGGGTTCAAGAAGTCAAATCTCTTCAGAGCGAAGTCTTGAGCCATGGGCTTTGATTTGCCCCTTGGTCTTTAACAGCTCAGATGCACCCTGCTCTGATGCTGGGACAGGTATGGAGATAAGTGGTTCTCAGGAGACAAGTCCCAGGTGTGGACTGAGACTTTGCTTCATGTCCCGGGCTTGCCAGCCCAGGTAGCAGCAACAGGAGGGAACTGACCTTCCTGGAAACCACCTCCAAATGGCCCAGAGCACAAGTGAAGCAAATTCTGGTTAAGACAAGATCTGGCAACCCCATCAGCACCTGATCAAAAGCAGCTCTTCCCAGGAAAAGGAAAGGAGATTTTGTGAAATACTTAGCGTTGTCATCAGTGTGTACATAGTGGGTTATCTCCCTATTGTTTTTTGTGAGCTGACCAGCTGTAGATACATGCATGTTGCCTAATGTTCAGTGAGGTGGGCCCTTATGCTGAGTCACAGGCATGATATTAGGGCCCATGAACTGACATGGACCTTTACAAAAGGGCCTTCCAATGGACTGTGGGTGGTATGTGATTTGACTGCTAAGAAGACAAGTCCTACTATTTCATGTCCTATTGACATTATGAATTGCCCCTTGGGGTGATGTGACCCAGATTTAATCAGTTTAGTCCATTGTATCAACCTGGGAGCTAGTGTTTTAGAGTGAAAATGCTTTATTATCTTTGTGCTGCATTAGGCATGATGAAGTGGCTGTGAAATGAATTAGCTGTAGCCCTGCAGCATGCCGTGAGAGACTCTACAAGCCAGATGTTTTGCCAGCAAAGAGGGATCTTAGGATTTTGGACTCAGTCAGAGCAGCTACAAGAGTCACAGTTGGAAAATCTCACCAGGTCAATCTGTTGCAATGTAAGTTTTTATATATTGCTGTGAAGCCACTGGTCTTGAGACCAAATACATCTTGGGCAAGTGCTGTACAAAAGCAGGCAGCTGGTAATAAAATCCTTTCACTTCTGTCTTGGAAACGTTGAGGTGTTGAGGAGTTGATGTGTCAGTTCAGAGAATGGGGTACTGCCATCCTCTGTGCCTTCAAGGGCTTGGATATGAACGACTTCACTGTAAGGTCACAGAGATCACAGAGGTACAAACTCTGAGAAATGAGGATATAAGCAGGATAGGAGTGTCCCGTGTCACCAGACATCCAGACCACCACAAAGGGTTGGGTATTGACCTGGCTGAACAGTGGCCAGAGCAGGTGTGCCATCTCCTCTGACCCTCTACTAATACCTGCTTTGGTCTCCTCTGTAAATAACTAATAACCCTGTGTGAAGTGTAGCTTTGGGCAAGCTCAGTTCACTAGAGAGGCTCCTAGCTGGTGCATGCTCAGATTAAAAACAGCCGCTGGACAAAGTAAACAGCTCCCAGGAATCACTGGCAGCAGCTGCACAGCTCATGTCTTTGCTCTGTGTTTGACCCCACAGTGTAGTGTCAGTATGAATTCAGCCCTGGGCACGTTCAACCCCTTATACACTCTTACCTGCCCAGCTAGGTTTTAAAACTGTGTCAGGCACAAAAGCTGATTATCAGCTTAAGCAGTGCTGTTTCTCTTCTTTGGCTGTAAACACTGGTCACAAGCAGGAGCAAGGCCATCACCTTGAACTTTCTCTAGAAGAGATTTCTGGATAGGAACTGTATAGGCAGTCAGCAGCTACTTCGTTAATAGGTACATCAGTAGCTTCAATGGAGTGCTCTGTGCAACTTCCATATAGGGCCAAGGATGTCCCTCTCTTTTAAAAAAAATAAAGCCATGGTGATTTTCGTGTCTGAAAACCCATCTTCTGTAAATGCTCATGTGTCTGCAATTAGATCCCATGAACTCTGAATGGGACGGCTTGCACACTTTCTCGCAACAACTTTCCTTAATGCCCCTCATAAGTGATTGTTTTCAGAAATACTCCCTGCTTTTGAGTATCTGCTTGTATTTTCTGTATCCTCTTTGGGACAGGCCGCCTTGCTATTACCATGCTGCAGTTGCTGAGGTCTCCATCTGCAGCACGTGTTGGTGTTGGACCACTCTGGTATCTGCATTTTGTACCTCCAATGAGTCAGAACCTGTGTGCAGGGATGGGAAGGAAATGCTTGTCTGGTGCCATGGGGGAAAACCATGCTGGTAAACGGTGGTTGGCAGTGCATCTTCCTGTGAACTCTCTGGGTGACCTTAAACTATGGCTTCCCTACTCTGGGCTCTGAGCTAAAACACTTGTATGGATTTATCTTCTCTTTTTTGGTTTGGAAATTCTTTGTATGGGGAAATTTTGTATAGAAAAATTAAGGAAATTTCTTTCTGAATCCTATGGAAAACATTTTGCCAACTGCTGTGTTGTGCCCACTGACCAGAACTTCATTCTTAGTTTCTTTTTACTCCAAGGAACTCTTTTTACCCTCCTTCTTTATACCTCTCCTCTTTTCGTGCAAGAAGTTTATCAATTTTCTTAACTTTTCTCGCTGTCTCTCTGCCTAAAATTAGATGACTGCTTTCCTTATCTCTAATCACCTCTGTAGTGCTATCCTTTTCCATTTTTTCTTTTTTTGTTTGTCTCTGTGATTTCTTTCTAGAAAACATGGCTTGCAATGAATGTTTACTAATGGTGGAAAGGAAGATAGGACAAAATAAGAACTGGACTCTGTCTTACTTTCTTTACTCTTCACATTCCAGAAATGCTCAGTTATTTGTCCTTGTGAATCTCTTCCAAGGCCTTATATTTATTTCTTGCCTCCACATGAGAATTAGAATCTCTGGTTTGAGGAGACTAAAAGCAACATGCCACTGCCATCTGATGTGCTCAGGTCAGTCTGGGGTCTGCAGCAGGGTGCTCTGCATGTGGATAGTCTAATGACATTTGGTGTCCTTTGCTGCTTCAGAGGGGCAAGGCTGCTTGTACGTGACCCCGAGCCTTGCTTAGCAATTCCCTTGTGTGGTTTTAGGCTTAAACTGGCAATTAATACTGTTCTTCTTTCAGTGCGTCAGCATGATTGTCAGGCAGAGAACACTGCTGTCTTGGAGTAGTCCCAGACCTAGCCTGGGGGGAGCAGAGGGGGGAGAAGGAAGAAGGAAACGGGGGTGCTGAGGGTGGGGGAGAGAGGCCAATCACCTCTGGCATTATGAAACTTATGCCCTATAAAATACTGCAATTATATTGTTTTCTAAATCCAGTGGGAACCGTTGTTTTTCAAGCAATAAATATCCTCCTGCAGCATTGGCAGCCATAATATGGCAGTTCTGACAACCTGATAGCGAAATTCATTCCAGTAACAAGAAATGAGACTGATGCTAGTGACTTTCCATTAGCCAAGCTGAGAGAAACAGTCAAAAAGGTAAATAAATTGAATGTTTAAATTTGTTTTCCCTTTTAATATTCTCTTTACAAGGGATAAAGCCCAAGACCTTCACTAGCAATATCTTTTTGATAGCATTGTGATAATGCAGCCTTGAAAGACACGGAAGGAACCACTAATGACTGATAGACCCAAACCAACAATTTTTGTTAAGATTGATGCTCATTTGTTTTGTAGTTCAAATATTTCAAGACAAGGTGATGTAGACAATCATTCATCCTTTGAACACTGACAATATTTCCTTTTCCCATCTCTCAGCTGTTTTGGTCTGGATTATGCAGCATATTCTATTGATATTCCTCTAGCAGAAATTCAAATGAATAGCAAATACATAATAATGAAATATAACAGAATGACATGATTAAACTGAGGTTCTGTCGAAGCAAAGCCTTACTCAGCTCTCAGCAGCACTACAGTTAAATGCTTCTAGGAACAAATAGGAACGAATGCCCAGAGCATTTGACTGTAAAATGCTGTGCCTAAGCCACATGCACTACTGTGCTGTTATTATCAAACCGCTTTGTTATGGAAACATATTTAAAGGTTGATCTGTCATTGGTTGAATGACAAGATCAACAAGCTAGGTTTTCATATTTATGGAGAACTTTCCTTGTGCAAAATATCCCTAGTTTGCTGCAACCCTGGACCTTCAGGTAAATCAGTCAGGTCTGGGAGTACAAACAAGCCAATTAACATATGTTAGACCAGATAATAAAATTGCAATACAAATGTACCTGACTCCCTAAGGTGATGGTTTTGATATCTAGCATTCCTTGGGAAAACCCTTACCACGGTGCAGATGTTGCAAACCCAGGTGGATCTCACGTCTTGTTTTTCTTATGGGCTGTACACACTCAGAGCTCTTGGCAGATCCCAGCCTGGGCTCTGACACCAAAGACAAGGGTGGACTTAGAGGAATATAATCTCATATTATCTAGTTAAAAGGGATGTATTTTGCTCTCCAAACCATTTCTCTCTAGGCTTGAACTCCAGCTGAGTTCCATTGTTCCAAGGACGTTTGTGAAATATATCTGTAGTTCTCGCACTAGATCTTAGTTGACAGGCTATGTGGTGAAGTAGTTGATCCCAAATTAAACCTTTGAGGTTTGTTCCTTTGTGTCCTACAATTTCGAGGCCACAATTGACTTCAAGATGTGCTTAAATGAGAATAAAGTTTGCAGTAAAACCTACCCTACTGCAAGAACCTTGCATATTAGCCCATTACCAGAGATGTTAGCATAGACATAATGAAAAGTTTTATTTTATTTTCCTGCCAGCCCATGTGTGTGTCTTAACTGTGTATTGAAGATACTCTTAGAATCCTCTCACGTAAATATACTCATTGACTAGTAAATATTAATGCCGCACCCTGACTCCAGCTGTGAGAAGATTTTATTGTTGTGTTAGAGCTTTTGATTAGCCTCCAAAAGGTTTTGCAGCATCTACTCTATTTGTCTGAAACATACAGACTGCTGCAAGCAAAACTTGCTACAAAGAAAATCATGCACTTTCTTTCATTGTTTTTAATTTAGTCTGTGCAAGTGGAATTATTTCTGCCTGTTAAATGCTTTGGAGTCACCCTCTATGAAATTCCAGAGACAGAGAAGGAGCTGCCTTGTACTTTTTAGTTCTAGTTTTCAGCAGACAGTGCTGAAGTAAAAGAAACATATGTTACGTCTTCCCATTATTCTCCCTAATTGTCACGGCAATTTACCCACAAGCTGACATGATAGCCATGGAGGGAAATGGAGCAAAACCTTTTGCATAACTCTGGGCTCCGGGAAATTGTGGAGGCAGATGGAAGGGGGAGTTCAGTGTCTGCTGGGCTGCGCTGCGGGGGCTCTCCCCCATGAGATCAGCTGATGAGCTTGGTGGCCTATCTTGACCTCCCTTCATCCAGCTGAAGGAACAAAATCCTCCTCAGCTGTCCCTGCCATATCCCTTACAGCAGGGTACCTCGCTGCTGCAGTTACCCGAGCCGCTGCTGCTGAATGTCTCCCCAGCTGCTGAACTGGTGACTGTGGGACCAGTGTCTATGCTGTTCAGGGACCCTGGTGCCCGTGCTCGTGCCAATGTGGCTTTTGATGGTGAGAGGCATGTTCTGTGGCTCTCAGTTTTTACAAGAAGAAGGTTGTTCTGAGTTCCTGCATCATAAAAAGCGGGGAAACTGTGCTATATCTCTCCTGGCTCTGAAGGGGCTTTCTGGAGAAATGAGCAGCAATGATGTGCTAATCATCTCCACTCCCTCACCCGGGTCACTGCAGCCAAAATACTGTGCTAGCGTGAGCTCTGGTCTTTGCTTCTTCACAGACAACCTCAGAAGAAAGGGTTTTGCAAGGAGGTATGTCTTTGAGCTGGGGCAATCACTTGTTGGGACAAGCCCAGTTAATCTTGTAGGAATGATATGCCTTTTACTCTGTGATTTGACTTTAAAACCTGAATTAAATGTGCCCAGTAGGCATCAACTTCTGAGCTGGGAAGCTGGATGCTCTCCTCTGACAGTGGA